ATTTTAATTAAAATAAATTTTATCAAAAATCTTTTTTTAAATGTAAATATTTTTTTGTAAATGTAAGTACTTATTTATTATATTTGTTTAATTTTATAGATCTAAATACTTTTTTTGGTTCAAAAAATGTTTAGGGACTTAATCGTTCAAAATATGAATGTTCATTGGATTTTTTTTCGGACTTTTTCATTATTTATCACATTAACCAGTTGTATATGTCATAAGGATGTATATAACAGATTTTAGAAAGTCAAAGAAGTTATTTAACATGTTTTGGATTGTCCAATGACTTATTTGTTCCAAAAAATTGTCCAAGAATTTAATCACTCCAAACACTAAAGTCCATTGATATGCCCAAAAAACATCCAATAAACCTATTGTAACAACTTTAGATAAGACGTTTTATAATATGATCATAAAACCTAATTACTCTTATAAATGATCCGCTTAAGACGCTTAGACATTTTAGGCATCCTATAAACCTAAATTTGTTGTTGTAGTAAGAGATACAGTATTCTTTCTCTATCCCTCCAAAAGCTGGTTTATATATACATGCATACATGATCATCAACAAAATCAAAATGTTTGAATGCATTTATATATATAGAAGTCAGGCTTACCACAAATTCTATAAATGCCGCGATAAGAACAGTTCTAAATCGACCAATGTAGGCATCAGCAAGACAAGCCATAACGATCGAAAGAATATAACCAGTACCCATGAAATCCGTTAGGTGGTTTGCTGCATCGGCTATGTCGTAATGCATCACCGTATTGAAATATGTCACCAGATTCACTGCCAGTGCCAAGTTCGCCATGTTTTCGAATGCAAACGTCGCTGCAACATAAACAAAACGACATATATTTACAACCTTCATTTCTCATATTTATAAGAACTTCGTATATATAGAAAGGGAGTTTCTGGAGAAAACTCTTAAAAAGATGAAAAACTTTATATACACATATGCATACCGTTCAGATGAATTATTACCTCAGTTTTTCATTTTTTTACAGTTTACTCTGAACCCGACCTTATAAATATACACATATACATTTACGAAGCTAAGAATTGTTACCTAATACAAGGATAGCAGCCCGCATGCCACCGTGCTTATTCTTTGTAGCAGTTCTTCCTTTCCAGTCCACCTTTCCTTCGATAAGCATATATTTTTCCTAATAATTAATTAAAACATGAAAATGGAAATAAATAAACATAAAAAAATTAATTAAAAAAAACATGAAAATATATGTAAGAATTACAGTGAGATCCATGATAAGTAGGGTTCTTGGGTTCCTTAGACTGCTACAAGATTGAATCAGAAGTTATGAGAATGTTGGAAGCAAAGGTTTTTCAATCATATATATAGAAAATATATGTTGTGCTACTTCTATGGCATATGTATGTGACAGGGGCATAAAGGTAATTTAACCACTTTTAAAACTTTAATTGGAGATGAAATGAAAGAGAAATAATTAAGGTCACTTGAATTGGTCAAAATATATTTGGTATATTCGTCTCGACAGTAGTGGACGTATGATTTTTGTCGAACGGGTGCATCTTTAAGATGGAACGAAAACCCGTAAAGTCGTCTGATGTGTTTTTAGCTGAAGTACTCCAAAAGGAATTTTTTAATCCTTTTGGTTGATTTTCGATGAAATTTTTTAAGGTTTTTTGCTTTATTTTAATGGATTCTTTCGGTGTTTTCAGTCGAGTTTCAGGGTCTTTTCGCTTTGTTTGGTTGATAATTCTTGTAAAACACTCGTCGAAATTTAGCGGGTTACACCTTTTATACCCTAAAGCAATTCTACTTGTGAAAATTGGTTGAGAGGGTGCATGTGACCGCTCGTTCATGCCTCTCGGAAAAGGGTTTGAAGGTTTGATGTACGTAAACCTTTTCTTCGTTGTAAATGATAATTAGTCTTAATTTAAATAATTAAGTGATAATCATTAACAAAAACGATGATGAACACTTTTGGGAATGATTGCATTCCATTCATGACGGTACTTGGTGATGGTGTACAAAACTATTATTAGTTGCCGTCGGATCTGCTTACCTTTTTCTCTTTCATTCAGACAATTAAATATTGAAAGAAGGCAGTATTGCCGACTTCCAGAAAGCAACCCATCGAGGGATTGAGGAAAGGGGAGACAAGAACATTTAGAGGATATATATATATATATATATATATATATATATATATATATATATATATATATATAGGAGTGATCATATAAAAACCGTCTTCATTTGTGTAAACCGTGCAAACCACC